GAAAGTGTCTGGCCGCATAAAGAGAAACATCAAAGAGGCCTTGAGGATAACGGAGGAGATGGATGCCCGGCTAGGGAGATCATCGGGCGCGTCCTCCTCCAACACGGAGATGGTCAGTCAGCTAAGGGCCGAAATGAATCTTGTGGAGGCCCAGAAGAGGAACATCGAGGAGGAGTGCATAAAGCTCAGGAGGGAGCTGAAGAAGAAGGAGGCAATAATAACGACTCTCCAAGGGGAGACCGCAGCCTCGAGCCAGAAGAGGGCTAGTGGGCCCTTGGGCAGGAAAGCACCGGCCAACGACGAGAGGCTGGAAGCCGCCAGGTCCAGCTCGACGGACATTGGTAGCATCATAGCGGTGCTAAGGGAGATGACCAAGGGTATGGAGGTGCTACAACAGTCCAATAGGGAGCTGTGGAGTGCTGTACACGCCTCAGCCAACCCTGGCCGGCGGCCTGAAGAGGAGACCGCACAGAAGAACACCGCTGAGGGGAGTGCTGGAGCTTCCCCCCACAACATTACACGAGTGCCCGACCAGCATGTTCCGACCCCGGCTCCCCCAGCCTCTGGGGGCGGGTTCGTGGAGGTTGTTGGTCGGAAGAAAAGACGCCTGCAGCTACGGGCAGCGGCAGCGCAACAGACTCTTGGCAACTTAGAGGGAACCAAGGGAAAGCAGCCTGGTAGCTCGAAGGAGACGGAAGGAGACAAGGCAGACAAGAAGAAGAAGCCCAGGAAGAAGGCACATAAGAAGAACCGGAAGGGGAGGATCAGAGAGACTGCAGCGGTCTCCCTGGTATGCAAAGAGGCAGCCACCTACCGGGATGCTCTCGTCAAAGCGAGGGAGAGCATTAACCTAAAGGAGCTAGGACTGGAAACGATGACTGTCCGGAGGGGGCTCACCGTGAGCCGTGGTGGGTGCCCCCTGGGAACGAGAAATGGTTCTCGTCCCTGGGAGGTGCTCCGCTGGCTGCGGTGCTGCTGGGTGAAAGCGAAAGACCCTGTAGCCTAGTTTGCAGGGGTTCCTTTTTTGTTGCCGTTAAGTGGGGGGACTCGCTGGTAGTTTCAGTCTACTTTCCCCCCAGCGAGGTAATTGATAGATTCAGTAGACTTCTAGACGAGCTCGAAGAGCTCTTAGGAAGATACCCTACCCTGCCAGCACTGGCGGCTGGTGATTTCAATGCCCGGGCTCCTAGATGAGACCCGGAGAGCAGGCGTAACCTAAGAGGAGAGTTACTCTGCCTGTGGGCCAACAGATTGGACTTGCACCTCTCCAATCAGGTTGGCCGCCCCACGTGTGTTCGACCGCAAGGGTCGAGCGTTATCGACCTTACGTGGGGCTCACCGGCTGCTAGTATCCGCTTAACGGAATGGGGGGTAGATGAGGCAGAGTCCCTCTCGGACCATTGTTGAATTAGATTTCAATATAGGCATGAGGCTACAGGTGTCCGAAGTTTACGCCCGCAGGACAAGACTTTCCCTCGGTGGAATTTGAGGGCGATGGACAATGACGTTCTTGCTACTGCCCTCATATCGGGTGAGTGGACGCGTCCGGGGAACGCTGATCGTTCGCGAGTGTTGGTGAAGTGGATACGCGAAACGTTGAGGAGTGCCTGTGACATGGCTATGCCGAAAATAATCGGCCAAAAGGACGGACGAGGGAAGGTGTCCTGGTGGTCGCAGGAGCTGACAGCCCTCAGGGCGGCGGCTATTGCGGCAAGAAGACGCTACCTGAGGTCCAGACGCAGAAGTGACCAAGGAAGGATGGAACTCTGCCTGGACGACCTAAGGACTGCCAGGAAGAACCTGAAGCGGGCCATCAAGAAGGCCAGGACCCTGGCCTGGCGGGAGTTCCTGGCTACGCTGGAGTTGGACCCGTGTGGCAGACCCTACCGACTTGTCATGGGAAAGCTGAGGCCGTACGCGGCTCCGGTTACCGAGGTGCTGGAACCGGGCGGGCTTTGCCGTGTGTTGGAGGGTCTCTTCCCACTGGTGGACCGGGACGGTTCAGCGGGGGGCCGCGGTGTGCAAGTGGACGGGGCTGCAGTTACGACAGGAGAGGTGCTAGCTGCAGCCAAAAGGATCAACATTGGGAAGGCTCCGGGACCGGACGGTGTCCCGGGCGCGGTAGTGAGGATAGCGGCTGCACACTGTGGGCCTGGGCTGGCCGAACTGTTTACGGAGTGTATGAGGACCAGCAGCTTCCCAAGGGCCTGGAAGAGGGCCAGGCTGGTCCTCATTAAGAAGAAACAGGACGCGCAGCCGGACTTGCCTGGATTGTACAGGCCGATTTGTCTGCTTGACGAGGTAGGCAAGCTGCTAGAGAGGGTGATGGTCTCAAGGATAAACGAGTGCCTGGAGGGGGGGGGTCTACTCTCGCCGGCTCAACACGGCTTCCGGGTTGAACACTCGACGGTAGGCGCCATCTTAACCGTAAGAGACATCATTCGGGACTGTGTGAACGGTGAGCGGGTTGGGATTCTTGTGTCACTAGACATAAGTAACACGTTTAACTCGCTTCCGTGGGTCACCATATTTAGGGTGCTGGAGGACAAGGGCCTCCCTACATATATGGTGAACCTTATAAGGGACTACTTATCGGACCGGTCTCTAGTGTTTGTGGGGAGACAGGGTCAAGTGATTGAACGGCAAGTGACGTGCGGTGTGCCGCAGGGGTCAGTGCTGGGACCGACATTGTGGAACATCGCATACGACAGTGTCCTCCGTGTCGCGCTGCCAGGGGGCTCCCGTGTTGTCTGTTACGCAGATGACACGGCCCTTCTGGCGGTGGGGCGGGACCTGTCCCAGGCGATTGCGAACGCGGAGCGAGACTGTGAGGTGCTTGTGGGTGCGATTGAGGGACTTGGCCTCAAAGTGACGCCGCACAAAACAGAAGCAATGGCCTTTCCTGCCTCTGCCTTCTGCAGACGCAGGAGTGCTCAGCCCCCTGTCATTAGGATTAGGGGGTCCCGTGTTAGCCTGAAACCCAGTGTGAAATACCTGGGAGTAGTATTAGACTCTGGCCTCACGTTCAGGCCTCACTTTCAGGCCTTGATCCCTAAGGCGGAGGGGATCCTTCGGTCACTTGGGAGGCTCCTTCCGAACCTCCATGGACCAAGGGAAAAGAAGCGGCGCCTCTACAGCAGCGTGGTCCACTCGGTTCTTCTTTATGGAGCTCCGGTGTGGTGGCGCGCTGTTGTGGAGGACTCTAGAGTAAAGCGGAGTGTGCGTGCGTTCCAAAGGAAGGTTGCGATCAGGGTGTGCTGCGCCTATAGGACGGCATCCTTTCATGCGGCAATGATGGTTGCGGGGGTCATTCCCCTAGATCATTTTGCGCCGCGGCTAGCGGAGGCTTATGCGGCCCTTGAGGGCGCGGAGGGACCAGGGCATCAAGGCGGCGTTTGGCGCCTTCGCGAGGTGGGGTGCGGTTGTTGCATGGAGGGAGGAGGAGTTAGGATTAGCTGATGTTCCTGGGGAAACAGGGGTGCGCGTGAGAGCAGCTATTGCCGATGGGTTGGTTGAGTGGGTTGAGAGGCCGTTCTCTATCGGCACGACCTTCCACATCATTCAGCTGATGACCGGTCATGGCTGTTTTCCGGCGTACCTATATAGAATAGGGAGGGCTGCATCTCCGCGATGCTTTTATTGCGGAGATGATGAGGATGACGCGGATCACACCCTGATCGTCTGCCGAGAGTGGACGGGTGAAAGAAATGTTTTGGTAAGAGAGTTGGGGGGAGTGCAACTCTCTCTTCCTGGCATAGTCAGTGCATCTCTGAATATGCCGGGGGGATGGGCTGCATTCCAGGCTTTTGCAAGACGAGTGATACGAAAGAAAGAACAGGATGAGAGAGACAGAGAGTGGATGAGTGTGAGAAGGATGCATGTTGGGTCGCAGAGAGGTTTCGTACCTAGGCGACCCCTTCGGGCGAGACTTCGGGTGGCCTAGGCGGCGAAAGGCCGAGTCCTGCGCGCTGCTCCCTTCTGCTTATGGAAGTGAATGTAAAAATGGGTGAATAGGCCTAGCCTGCACGTCATGGGACGGAAGGCTGGGCCAACTTGGTTTATGTCTAGGTTAAGCTGCGCCTCCAGGAGGGATAAAACCCTACTGTCGAGTGCGCCTCAGTATGCGTGGCGTCAGCGTCTCCAGGGGGAAGGTTCCTGTTGAGTGCGATCTGACGAAAGAGTGGTGCATGAATGTGAATGAAAAGAGCATAGCGAATTCCGGCTGGGCTTGTTTGGGGAGGAGGCATCTGGCATAGTATGCACGAACCGTGTGTTGCGCCTGCGTCCTTCTTTGCATGGTAGTTTAGATTCAGGTGGGTTTTTTAGTCGGTAAAAATCCGACACTCCTCTGTCCGACTTTCCCCCTGACGAAAAAAGAAAAAAAAAAAAAAAGGTTTAAGTTCAGGCTGGCCTTTGAGGGTTAAAATAAGTGTTCAGGTCAGGCTGAGATTTTTAAATTGAAATTAGTGTTGAGGTCAAGCTGAGATTTCGGGGTTGTGGTCAGTGATAAGGTCAGGCTGGGATTTCAGGGTTAAGGACAGGGTTGAAGTCAAGCAGCGATTTTTATTTAGAGGTCAGGATTGAAGTCAAGAAATGATGTAAAGTTTGACGTCATGGTTGATCTTGGTCTGTGATTTTAGGGTAAAAGTCAGTGCCGAGCTCAGTTTAGGATTTTAGGTTTGAGAGGAAGTTCGTGGTCGTGGTACTATTTCAGGGTTAGGGTCTTAGGTAAATTTAGGTTTTGATTTTAGGATTAGGGTCAGGTTTGAGTTCAGGCTTAGATTTCATAGCAAGGGACATCTTGCTGGGATTTCAAGGTTGAGATAAGGGTTGATGTCTGGCTGGGATTTTAGGGTTAAGGTCAGGCTACTAATAAACGGAAGCAGCTATTGCAAATTGCTAGGTGCTACTTCTAGATGCTAGGTGCTACTAATTAAAGCTAGTTTCTACAGCTTAATGCTTAGTGCTGGGTACTACTGATAAGTGTTTAGTGCTACAGCTTAGTGCAACGTTGTACTGCTATGTTGTAGAGGCGTCGCTTCTTTTCCCTTGTCCGCGGAGGTTCGGAAGAAGCCTCCTAAAAGACCGGAGGATACCTTATGCTTTAGGAATCAAGGCCTTAAAGTAGGGCCTAGACCACATCTTCGAATCTATAAGTATTCTCATGTATTTAAGGCTAGATTTCCCCGCAATACAAATCTCTCTGAGCCTAATCACAGGAGGAAAACATTCCTGAATCTGCAGAAGGCAGAAACAGGGAAGGCCCTCGCCTTCGTTTTGTGCAACGCCACCTCAAGGTCTAGCCTCTCGATCGCTCTAACAAGGACCTCTAGGTCCTGTTTTACGATGTCTATTGCCCGTGATAGGTCCCGCCCCATTGACAGGAGGGTCGTATCATCCGCGTGGCTATCAACACGAAACTCCCCTGGTAACGGGACTCGGAGGACACTATCGTAGGTAATAATCGATAATGTGATGCAAAGAATCGAGATCAGCCGAACCACACACGATAGATGTCTTTCGTCTAACCGGCTCTCTCCTCCTATGAAGAGTAGGAGCCGTTCGTGGAGATAGCACCTGACAATTCGCACCAGGTTTGCAGGAAAATCTCTGGCTACTAACGAGTTCATAATGGTGTCCCAAAGGAGCGAAGAAAACGTGTTGCTGACGTCTAGGGACATTACGATTCCAGCGCAATCCCTTTCAGCGCACATTTGTAAACACCTCTTTAATGCGTTTATCGCACTGACCGTCGAACATTTGATACGAAATCCGTGCTGCGCTGGTGAAAATACGCAGTTTTTTTCACGGAATCCGCTTACCCTGGTCAGTATAGTTTTCTCAAACAACTCTCCGGCCTTGTCCAGTAGGCATATGGGCCTGTATGAAATCAAAAAATCCGGCTAGGCATCAAGCTTCTTTTTGATGAGCACTAGCCTATCTAGTCTTTCTTCTAAGCTGGTGGAAAACTGCTAGCCCTTAGGCAAGTAGTAAAGCATTCAGCTCGCCCCACGCTGCAATGTTTTGCCGTCTTTTGCACCATAATGCCCAGTATCCTATCCAGCCCCGGAGCTCTACCGCCAGGGATCCTCCTCATCGCCTTAAAAACCTCTTCCGGCGTCTCCGTGACTGCGTCTTTGGCAACAGAGCTGATGAACGGAGCTGCCGCCGTAGTCATTCTCGGGAAGAAGTCCCGCACCAAACTGTCCAACGTCGCTGGTTCCAGAGCATCCGTAACCGGTATCGTGTGGGCCCTTAGTTTGCCCATGGCGAGCCGGTATGGCTTTTCCCACGGGTCCTCTTCTATAGAGGACAAAAAATCCCGCCAGGCCAGAGTTTTCGCTCCTCCGATGGCCTTTACCAGGGTTCTCTTGGCCTCACGTCGGGTTTTCAGATATATATCGATTCTCCCTTGGACCCTATTGCGCCTAGTTGTGAGGTAACGCCTTCTGACCGCAGTTGCTGTAGTTCTTAGCACCGCGATATTCCGCGACCGCCAATAAGCCTTGTATCTCCTGATCTGGGAATACTTGATCTTTGGTATTGCCATATCACACGCACTCTTCAGTGTGTTTCTCACCCATCTGCACTAATCCTGCGCTCCTACATGGTCACTACCGGCAGGTCGCGACCTCTCTCCGGGAATAAGAGCTGCAGCGAGCATCTCCCCATCCGCTTCCTTCGCATCCTACCGTAGGAAAATACTGTATCTCGAGCGCTAGCTTCATATACCTGTAGCGTAGTTACTATAGCTGAAGCATAAATAAGGGACTCAGCCTCATCCCCTCTCTTATCCGTAAGCGGACGCTGGCCGCTGGGGAGCCCCACGTAAAGTCGAATTTGCTCGACCCTTGTGGGCGAACGTACGTGGGGTTGCCCGCTTGGTTACCCAGGCTCAGGTTCAGCCTATTATCCCAAGCAGAAAGCAACTTGCCCCTTAAGTTGCCTCTGCCTTCCGAATCATACCTAGGGGACCGGGCATTAAAATTCTCTGCTACGAGCGCTGGAGAAGCAGGAAATATTTCTAAGAGCTCTTCGAGCTCATCAAAAAGTCTACAAAAATTACTAATATCCTCGCTGGGGGGAAAGTAGAAAGAAACTACTAACAAGTCCCCTCCTTTGAGAGCTACAAAAAAGAACCCCTAACGCACCAGGCTACAGGGTCTTCACGAATACCGCGGAAAGGGGAATCCACTTCAGGGATGAGAACTATCCCTCATTCCTGGGAGGAACCCACTATGGCTTCGCAATAATAGTAACGCTCGCATCTGACTCTCTCATCCGCGCGCGTGGTTTAGGTTTATCTAGAAGAAGACTGTGGCTGTTATTCCTAAAGTTATTCCTATGCACTCCCACTAACTTTACTGTTCTACTCTATTTAGGATAGTGAGACCGTGGACCCTCGTTCCGTCGCCCAACTATGCTTTGCGTTCATAGAGGAACAGGGCTTCACCTGTTCAACTCCAATGCCGCCTTTCTTCACTATCCGCACTGTTTTTTCGATAACTCTCTCCCCGATGACTACCGGGCCGTTCCGGTTGGAACCTAGGTCTATAACGGGCGGTCTCATCACATTCCTAAAAACCCTGTCCTGCTGTCTAGACAGTGCCACAATCAGGCACACCCACGAGCCTGCTCTGTGCCCCGTTTGTGGCCTCCCCGCGTACACAAATATCGGGCACCTGCGTTTATTCCTGCAGTCCAGAGCGACATGCGCGGGTACCCCGCATACAAACCAGATCCTGGTCCTAGCGCTCAGGGCCGGACAGGAAACCGCCACGTGGCCTCTCGCCACGTAACACGTTAGGGGTCTCTGGCTAAGGGCAAGTATCCTCACTGAGGTCCAACCAACCGTTATCCTGCCCTTCTCAATCGCGGCCTGGCTCATAGCTGTCGGAGCCATAACCTTGGCCCCGCCTATTCTGCTCCTACCTGCGGCCTCAAAACGCTCGTCCTACACCTTTACGATTTCTAAGACCTCGCCATGGCAACGCTTCATGTAGCCTGAGACATCTCCTTGCAGATTTCCAGTTTTCTTCCTGTCAGAGTCAGCACCCAGCTGGCAGTTCTTACCTCTCTCAATCAGTCTTTTTGTCTCAAGCCTGGAGACGAGGGGTTTCAATGCCTTTTGATTCACTGGGCTTGTCAAATCGACGATTTCCTCCTTCGGGGAAGAGGTTCTCGTCTCGCCCGTTTATTCGACTTAGCTTTGGTCGCAATACTCGTGCCAGAGAGTTGTGCTATCTCTATGGCCTTAGCGGCCCTTTGCCATTTCTCCAGATGGTGTTCCTTCCTTTCTGTAGTGGTCTTTACACTGCAGACCAGGTTACCTACCTGTGATGCATTGCCTGTATCCAGGCCTCTTACCTTAAGCTCTTGGCAGTTGCTGGTGGGCAGGTGGTCTGCTCTAACACAATTTGTCACCGCCGTGGCGTGAGTATCTCTTCAACGCCTACTGATTTCTGGAGATTTACATTCTATCATGATTGATTATGAATGAGAGTCATGCCCCCAAGCAGAAAAGAAAGAAAAGGAAGGAAGTAAATAGAGAAAAGCAAAGAGCAAAAGAAAGTGGATAAATAGAGTAAACGATAAGAACATTCACAAATCATTCATACCTTCCCTTTTAGTCGCCTGTAAGGACAAGCAGGGTATACTGCAGGAGTATTCTACTACTCCCTACCGACAGGGGCGACCCTGACGCAACCCTGACGCAACTGTGACTATGTCAGGAAGAGAGAGCATCACCTCCCCTAGTTCGTATCATAGAGTATTCTTGACCTTCGTCCATGCCGGGTACACGATAAGGGTATAATCTGACGAAACCCTGACGCAACCCTGACGAAACCCTTTTATTTTCTTCTTTCGTTTAAAGAAAAATCTTGATGGATCCCATAGGCCCGGGTACTTAGGGAAGTGTCGGATTTAGCCTGCCAGGGATATACACAGGATCGGGCTGCTTACCGACTAAAACTACCCGCTAATCTAAAACCTACCATACAAAAGAGAGGCTATGTGATCCTTGTGTCCTTGCACAATATACAAACACCGTCTCTTCCTGGTGAGCCAGGCCGGTTTGCCTCCCTCCTAACCAATCATTCTTCAAAACTACACACATCCTATATAATTCCTGCGCATTCAACGGTCTCCTGGGGGCATTGCTTCATTTACTATTTACACTTATCTCGCAAAAAACGGTCTTTTCCCGGAGGTGATCCTAACCTATCTTAATAACCTATTTCTACTTGACCTGGCCATCCGTCCCATGACGCATTAGCAAGGTCCATATAACCCTTCATGCATCTGTATGCTTTTAAAAACTCACTAACTATTAACATATCAACTATTGAGGGGATTTGGCGCGCAAAACCTAATCCGGCGCCGCCCAGGCTGTCCAAAGTCTCGCTCAGTGTAGTCGCCTAGAAGATATTCTCCTATGCGGCTTTGCACGCATTCTTTTATTATCGTTCATACTTAAAATCATATCACTGCAGTGCATCAACTCCTAGTCTCTACACCTCTCATCATCCTCCTTCTGCTTCATGACAAGTCCTGAAAAGGACTGTAATGCAGCTCACCCTCTAAAAACCCCAAGGGAAACCCTGACTATTTTGGAAAGAAAAAGATGCACTTCTCCTAGTAGCGACATACAGTATCCCTGGCATCCATCCATCCATTCCAGACACTTGATCAGAGTGTGTTTCGCATCATCTTTATTCGCCCCATAAGGGAAACATTGCAGGGACGTTAATCTTCTTATCTTATGTAGATACGCGGGAAAACAGTTGCGATCGGTTATTAGCTAAGCAGCAAATTTTTTAACAGGTATATAAAAATATATAAAATTTCAATAGTAATAATAAACAATCATGAATACTCTAATTATTAACATGTTCATGAATATATATAATAATAATATCATGCCTTTTAATACAAATCAAAATTGATTCCTTCGTAAGCAAGAGTTTTATTAAAGCTAGATAATACAAGCACCCTAAAAAATGCAAAGGACATGAGTTATTAGGGACATGAAAATTTTATATATTTTTATATACCTGTTAAAAAATATATACAAATAAATAATAGTAAATATGTACAGACAATTCTAAGTAGAATAGCAATATTCTGTTCAATTAAAATACGTTACTAAGTAAAATATATGTATTGAGCTAGCCACACTAAGTAATTGCCGATTTCATTTATAAACGTCTTTCACTTCCATTTTTATGGTATTCTTAAATGATATGATCTTCTTCTTCTTATATATGTTAGCTATCATCCTTACCTAGCTTTACTAGTTTATTGCTTAGATATTTTCTACAAGTTTATTTTTTACCTCAATATTAATATGGAGTGAGACTACCGGTATAATAACGAGAAAGAGTGGACGTGTGGTGTGTGTAGTCCCGAAAAAGAGTAGGAATTTGGAGAATAGTTGTTAAAGAGAATAAAAAATGGATAGAGGAGAAGAAGGTATTTGAGGAGAGGATAAACAGGTTGGAATGGGAAAAGGAGAGAAGGGAAAGAATGAAGAGAAGGAATAACATTGTGATAAAGGGGGCAAATATATAGAAAGAGAATATAGAAAAAAAGGTAGAAGATTTCATTGAGGGAAAGATAAAGGTAAGAATAAAAGTGGAAAAGGCAAAAGAGATAAAAGTTAGTGAAGGAGGAAGGGAAAGAAAGCTGGTTATGGTTAGTTTAGGGAGTAAAGAAATGAAGGAATAAGTGATGAGAAATAAGAAACAGTTGGAGAGAGGGGTATACATAGATAACGATTTGACGGAGAAGGAGAGTAGAATACAAAAAATAATTATAAAGAAATCAAGGGAATTGAGGAGAGAAGGGAAAAGGACAGAGATTGGATATATGAAGATGCTAATAGATAACAAATGGTTTAGGGATAATGAATAGAGGGAGGAGCTCGTGGAAGAGGGAGGTAGGGTAGGGAGAGAATGAAAGAAACAAGAAGAAAGTGAGGTGGAGGGGAGATAGGGAAAATGATGAGTATATGCGGATGGAAAATAGCGGGAGTGTTAAGTAAGGATGCTGAGGTATGGAAGTACTTAGGTGAGTTCCATATGATAATTTTAATGGAAACATGGATGGACAAGGAAAAATGGGCAGGTTTGAAAAATAAGCTGTCAAAAAAGTATGAGTGGAATTGTGTAGGAGCGATTAGATCACATAAAAAAGGAAGAGCGAA